AGTATTTCTACGCCCCCTGGATGGGACGCTAGTCCATCGCAAGGCTACCCTCAGCATTAATTTGGCCGGTACCCATTTATACACCTGGGTGGAGAGAGGCACTGTGAGAGTAAAGTGTCTTGCCCAAGAACACAACACAATGTCCCCGGCCAGGGCTCGAACCCTGACCGCTCGATCCGGAGACGAGCGCACTAACCATGAGGCCACCGCGCCTCCCAATTATTTCGCCAGGATTGACTGGTTTTACAAAGTTCTGGTGCAAAATCAATGAAATGATAATTTTTACCTGAGGCGTTCATTTCAATACAGTGAGACAAACTGACGACAGCTTTCATATTTGGCCTCGTTTTGAAACAGACACTTAGATGGATAAGAAAATAGAAAGAACAACGTGCAAGCAACTGCAAGGCTTTTAACTTATCTAAGTTAACCTTTATACTACCAACTATTTAAACCTACATTGTGAAGCCTTTCATGCATGTTGGATAAATATTTACAAAGATGATTTGCCAAAACTCTTCAGCTTTATTAACTCCAAAGCAAAGCGTGTTCTACGACTGGGGTACAGATGTGGGCCAGCGTACCATGAAATGGTATGTTAATGGTAACCAATTCATTCAGCTTACTTAGAAAAGATGGCTTAAATGTGGTACAAACCGAAGGGTTATATACATTAAAGAAAGCGTCTAAAAATTAGTTGTTCTGAGTTTTTTGAAGTTTCGCACCGATTATTTAATAATAACTACTCGAAATGCCTTAAAAAAAAAATGGCCCTTTAATCATCGGAATAAAGACGTTAATGAAGTTATCTATAGACAAATGATTTGATTGGATTCCCCTTTTAGTATGAAAATACTTGACGCAAAATCGGGAAAAGGTTCCCTCAATGTGCTGTCTTAATCCCAGGCATGCGGCCCTAAACGTTTATACATCCATCGTATATTTAAGTGACTGTAGCCTTTCATTTCGCAGTGTGAAAATACAATGTTCTCATTGTAGGTATTTGCTGCTGATCTACAGATTTGAACTGGATGAGAATCTCTTGAGAATGGAGCGTTTCTTGAGGGTGGATGGAGCCACAGGCGCGTCCGGCGTGTCTGAATACGACAGCATCACTTGCAGACGACCAACTGGCATTCCATCTAAAGGGACATTAAGGTTCAGTAAATACTGTGTTTTTAATTTACTATGCTCAACAATGAGGGTGAGATCAAGGTTTGTATTGACTGCTAGTTGGCGAGCAACGAAGCCCTGAACTATATGTAGTGTCATGGAAACCGAGAGCAAGCTGTTTAATTAACAATTAGATTATTCGCTCTCGATTTCTATGTTGATGAGGCCGAAGGCCGAATCAACCGTTACCTCATAGAAATCGAGAGCGAATAATCTAATTGTTTGGGTAGAATTCTACATGAAATGTTTCAAATAACAATTCCAATAATTTCTGGTCTTAGTATTAAATTTCACGCTTTAGAAAATTCGTGCGAATGAATTGTCAATTTGACATTTGCATTTGTGTACGCGCGCTTATCAGTTTATTTTAAACAATTTGAGTTTTTTTTGTTAATTCAAGAAACTGTGAATCTCCTTCAGTTAGGTCTCAGTTAGTCTTGTCTGGAATTTGATTATCCACTTGCCTCTAAGTGTTCTTTCAAAAGTTCGGAGAAACGAGGAAACGTTGCAATTTTGTCGACCACACTGAACAAACCACTGCACACTAGTGGCTGATAGTGTGCAATGGCTCAGCCAATCAGATCACAGCATTTCATTGGTGTACTAGTACAATTTTACTGGTTTCATGAGCGTGGTAATTCCCTGTGCGTGGGTGTCATTAGAAAAGTACTCTAACGTGTATGGGCTGGATTTTTACTCCGACCTGAGTCAATGTTTGCCGGTTTGACAAACTCGGTAGTGCAACACGTTCAAGCAGTCTTGACTATAATAGTTCACACGTCTTGACCAATCAGTTTTACGCCCACCATTTGGTGCACATGAACAGAATACAGACATTAGCCGTAACACAGACCAAACATTTAAGAGGTCCCAAGATCTCAAGTCAAGACTTTTTTGTGTTTTGTCTTGTGGCTTGAAAGCTATATTAGTCTACAGTTCTTACAATATTACCTGTTACTGCCTCGGAATGGCCCTAAGACCTTAAATATGTTTTACAGAAGTCAAAATAAATTTTTAACTTTTTTACACGAAAGTTAATTCTTAACTTTTGAAAACATGGGCAATTAATTTCTAATTTCTGTTTACCGTAAGGAAGGTGAATTAACTGATAGCCGTAAAAGCCACCGCCTTATTGAGACCCTCTTGTCATCGTCTACAGAGATTTACAATAAGACAAATTTTGACGCAGGAAGTCTGAGGTCTAACAATGGATTGTTAAAATAAATGAAACACTGATCAGTTAGATAAATGAAAGATGACTTTCATTAGGAACCTTCTAGACTACCTCGGTAACTAAATATTGCTTAGGAGATGAGAGGTATAGTTTTTCTGTGAGTTCGATTCACTAACTCTTTGTTCAAAGGTTATCGCTTGCCGTCTACCTACACCTTTCTTGGTGTCTACCTACACTCTTTCTTGGTCTTTGAGTTTTACTAATATGCGAGCCAGCGAGCCATGCGAGTCACAATGCGAGGCATGCGAGTCATGCGAGTCATGCGAGTCATGCGAGCCAGGGAGCGAGCCATGCGAGTCATGGAAAATGAAAAATAAAAAATAAATAAAATAAAAAATTAGTATAATAAAATGTATTATCGTTTGTCACACGATGTAGTCACTTTAGATGTAGATCGCGACGTTTCGA